CTTATAAAAGAAATCCTACTATTTATATATAAATAGATCCAATAAAATAATAATATTTTTTAACACGTTTAAGTTTTTAAGCTTAAAGTACAACCAACCCTTAATATAATAATATTATCTATATACTCTTTGAATCTAGAATTTTATGAGGATTAACTAATAATGCTTTAAGTACTATTGTTTATACATAGTGAATTTTATATCCTGTGATTTTTTACTACAAATGGGGAGATTCATTCAAATCTTTTTGACTTTTCAATCTAAAACGTAGCTTAGGTCAACACTGGAAAAAGGGAGGGCTTGCTCAATTAAACTCTAAAACAGATTTTGAATTTTTTTTGAAATTAAAGCTTCTCATTTTCACGGCCCTATCCTGTAAATTACATATTTCATGCGTGATTGAGGAGAATGAATTAGAAATTTGAAAAATCTCTACATTTTCCCCTTATCTCGGCCACCCCTCTCCTACAAATTAGAAATTTAGGTATTTGCATCCTCTAATTTCTCTATGCTCCCTCCCTTTCTCTCTCTCTCTCTCTCTCTCTCTCTCTCTCTCTCTCTCTTAAAGCTTCATGTTTTTGTTGGTTCGAAGATGATGACTGTTGAAACAATGTTTTCTAGCTCTAAGACCTCCCTGTGCACTGCCCACAAACACCAAACGCCATTATTCCAACTTCAACTAGGCACGGGTTCAGCTGCCTTCAACATATGTTATATGTCGCCGATTCTCCTCTATAAAAACCCCAAACACCGCCTTCATCAAATCTCTGAGAACAAATAGGAACGAACCGCAGGTGCGATTTAAACCCTTAAAATCGTTACTTTTTGGCTTTTTGGTTCTTATTTTTGTTTATGTGCATATAATTTAATACTAGGTCTGATCTTTTGAGTCCCAAAGTTAAGAAATTGATGTATTGAGTGATTGGAAAGGTCCCTGCTCACAAATCTTCATATTTTATCAAGCTTTTTGTCTAGGAGTTGTTAGTATACATGGATGTAGAACCGAACACATAATGTATATATTTTTTAATGTGATTGTGTTTGTGCTCTGATCTCATCTCCTTTGTATGATTCAAGTGTTGCAGATTTTATCCTCTCATCCAAAAACAACAAATTGTTCTTGAGTTCTAACATTTGAAAGGTAACACTGAATTTTGTAATGTAAACAAGTTCTGTTGGCTTATGTTTTTTTTTATCTCTATTGTGATTGTAATATCATGCTCTGTGATTTCTTAATATTTTTTTTTTTTTATCTTTTATCATAACTTTTTGATGTTGAGTTTTTTTTTTTTTTTTTTTTTTTTTTTTTTTTTTTTTTTTTTTTTTGCAGAATAAACTTCACTTTCACAATATGTAACATACTCTTCTATTGCAAATTCTGAATAAAGAATCTCCAAAATTGCTTAGATGAAAGTTATGGATGGTAAACTATTTTTTTTTGAAGGCTATAATGCGTTCTTTGGTTGATTTATTTAATCTTAGTTTTGTATGTTGTAGAATTTTGATTACTTTATGCATCATTTCAGTATTTCTTGATAATCATTATTCTTTATTCAAGAAGGATGCCCCGCTCAAACATTGTTGATACTAGATTATGAATAATCTTGCCCAAGCTAGATTTACTATTTTGCCCCTGTTTTTTGGTTATCGTTTGCTCTCATACACCGATTTATAGTTCATGTTGTTGAAAGGAACACCTTTACCGGGGGTAGCCACTCTTGATGCATAGTTATATAGATGACCCTATCAACTTATCAACTCCCATATTTTCATCATATATATTTTTAATTTGTGGTACAACTCTTACACCATTCCTCAACGCCCCACCAGTTTTCTCACCATCTCATTCATTCGATCCAGTTTTCTAAATTGCACTTTGGTGATTAATGTTAATAAATGTGCTCTTAATTGATCAATGCTACTTTTTGTAGGTTAATATATTAGCCACATTTACAAAAACACTCATGTCACTGTTGATTAATATTTTGATTTAACTAATAGCGAAAAAATCAATATTCAGGGAACATGAACAAAACGCCATCTCATTCTATCAACAATTTGCAAAAATAACAGGGGAGAACAAAGTGTATGTATATTTAAAATTTTAATATACGCATGATGTATATGCATTTCTTAAAGTAGAACAACTCGATGCATGATCCATTCAATATTGGTTGTGACCGGTCTTATAACTAAATGAGTAGATGCATGTTGCTTTTATATTTTACATCTTTTTACTACGTGGTATATAACACATAATTTTACATTAATGATCGGTGGAGATACCACACCCAGACATGTTTACATATGATGAAATCCCAGTGAAGACCTCTTTTCAAGCTAATCTGAAATTTACCTATTATAGTATTTTGTTATGAAATTATATATATTTTTTATTAAGTGAAGAATTTGTATCGACCGTTTGAAAGATCAAAAGGTGAGAACTAAGGTTTGACATGAGAACCGTAGATTAGAAAGTATTCCATGTAAGTCTATGTGTATGTTGTTGTTTGCTATAACAAGAAGGGATACATTTATGCTCACAATTCATTTTTTGACCATCTCTTGCATACTATCTCTTGATACTTAACTCTATATTTTTCATATTAAATACTAACCATATCATTGGTAAAATGATCCGATGAATATGACTTCTATGCTAAATATTATTAAGGCTAATTTATCTCTAATTTTACAAAAAAAGATAAAAATATAATTTTGAATTTTGAAAAGTTAATTCATTATCGATATAAAAAGGGATATTTTGTATGTCTGATTTATGAATTTCATTTTTTAACATAAATTTTTTGATATTCTTTGAAAATGTAATGTATAATCAAATGGTTTAGATCTAACGAAGAATTTACGTTTTTGACAACTTTCAAAAAGTAAATTAATTTGGACAAAAGTAATATTTATCGTAAAGAAAAAAAGACCGGTCATCGAAACTAACCACCGCTCGAAAATTATTTACCAAAATAAAACAACAGCCGGTCAGAAATAACTTACTGTAAAAGTCTATTCATAGAACAGAAATTGGTTTACATTTGCCAAAACTAATGTAATTGGAGCCTAAAACTCATAGTTACCCGTTGCATTGCGTGTGTGTGTTTTAAATGTCATGTTTTATAGAGGAAACTATTTGCCGATGAATTGTATGTTTATTGTAATATGATATGTTTTCAAGAGAATATAATTACCGATATGTAACTATTATATAAAAAAAACATTCACATCATCCACATTCAATCTCCTCCGCTGAAACTAATCATTGTCTGCTAACTAATTGCCGAAAAAAATTATTCGTCGTCCGCCGCTTTGTGCGGGTAAACAACTAGTATATATATATATATATATATATATATATATATATATATATATATATATATATATATATATATATATATATATATATATAACTTAAGATGATATTTAAATTTGATGTCAAGTACAAGCCTTGTGATGACAAAGTTGTACAAACTTTTTAAAATTTTGATTATTTTCCATATATAAGAAGGTAAAAAGTATATTGGCAAAAAAAATAATTATTCATAAACAAGAATAAGTTAAGAATAAGTTGTTCAGTCATTCATGATTATATAAAATAGACTAAGTATATGATTCTCACAAAAGTTATTCAAGTCTGGGAATTTATGTCCACACAATTCCTAAATATGTAAAGAAAAAACCACATAGTACAACACTTGCTAGTAATGAAAAAAAAAAAACATTCCTACTACCTAACACAACACACTTTGACACCATGGTAATAGCATCGTCAACACTTGCTAAACAAAGAAAAATAATTATGAGAGTAACGTTATATATTCTTAAATAATTTTAAAAATCATTAATTTAAAAATCTAAACAATCATTTATAAATATGATTTAAACAAGTTAGCTTTTATTTTTTCTTGTTTTTCATAAAAGAAATATAACATTATTCCCATCAAAGGCCAAATGCAAACACTAAAACATATAAAATCATCTCTCATTCCTTATCTTAAACACAACTCATCATCCACTAAAACTATCCAAACAAGCAAATATTAGGCTTCAAGCTGAAATAACTTTTTTAGGTTAGGCACAATTATATATATATATATATATATATATATATATATATATATATATATATATATATATATATATATATATATATATATATATATATATATTTATTTATTTATTTATTTATTTTACATCATTATTAAGAAATAAAAATATGAATAATCAAACATTAATATACATATTAGATTAATTTACGAATAATCATACGTTAATATTCACATTACAATCTACAAAACATATACACAATCCATATGTTAATCGAATATGAATATTACGTATCATTATTTATGTATTTATTGTTGAATAATATGTGAAAATATTCAAATTTGTATAATCTTGTTTGTGCCTTTGTGGTCGAACTAATTCTTAACATTGTCGAACAGATTTTGACCAAAGCTGTTTACGGTTCCATTATGTTTGGTTCGGTTTTCAGATTAGATTATGCATTATGACACATTGACACTCGTACATTTTCCCGCATATGATACATTTATAATACTCGTAGCTACCTGCAATCCTTTTTAATTGAATAGAACCTTGTATTTTATGTATCTCTTATTCAAAACTATGATTGGTTGTGTAGGTAATAAGTATCTAACTTTGAATAACACAAATATAATTTTAAAAATTAGTTAATAAAAAATAGAGATACTCAACCGATATAATAATAAATTTAAAACAGGGCACCACCATAAATAAAGTTAAACCCAATAGTATTTTTAAATTTCTCCAAATATTTTACGGCGGATACAGCGTACCATATTTTCCCACGCGGCCAACTCTCATTCGTTGACTTTAAATAGTCAAATGGCCGCCAAATATTAAGTTAGGCACAAACCCAGATTAATTAATCTAATCACCTTCTTAATCTACTCCACCTATATATCCATCTCCTGTTCCCTTCATTCCTACATCACCTTCTCTTCATAATGAATCCACATAAACTCCATTACCTTTTCTTCTGCACAATATTGTGTTCAATACTTTCAGGAGACACAAAAGCTCAGATTTTTAACGAACGAGCTTCTCTCCTTACGTTCTTTTCCGGGATCACTTCTGATCCCGAAAACGTTCTTCAGAGCTGGAATAGCTCTGTGATTCCGGTATGCAATTGGACCGGAATCACATGCAACCGGAATCATGATTCCATTCTCGAGTTAGATCTCAGTGGATCTTCGCTCCACGGAATTATATCTCCTGCCATTTCTCAACTTTCACGATTAACGGTTTTGGATCTTTCTAGAAATTTCTTCGAGGGTGGCATTCCGGGAGAGATCGGGTATCTTTTCGAGCTCAAACAGTTAAGTTTATCGTCCAATCTTTTACGTGGGAGTATCCCGTTTGAATTAGGATTTCTTTCTAAGATACAATATCTTGATTTGGGAAGCAATATGCTCGTTGGAGACATTCCAATGGCGCTTTTTTGTAACGGGACATCGGTCTTAGAGTATGTTGATATATCGAATAATTCGATTAGTGGTCCGATTCCATTGACCGAAGAATGTGAAATCCAAGAGCTACGGTTTCTTTTGGTTTGGTCGAATAAGCTTACGGGAAGGGTCCCGAGAGCCTTAGCGAATTCTTCAAAGCTTAAATGGTTGGATTTGGAGGTGAATGGTTTTGAAGGGGAGTTACCGTTTGAGATTGTGAAGAATTTAACAAACTTGCAGTTTGTTTATTTATCTTACAACCGTTTTTCGGGCCCACTCGAGCTGTTCTTTTCGGCTTTAACTAACTCTTTGTATTTACAAGAACTAGAGTTAGCTGGAAACAGACTTTTCGGAAAGATTCCTGATGTTATCGGGAATCTTCCCAAGAGTTTGGTCCAGTTACAACTTGATGACAATCAGATATCCGGAGAGATACCTCCGGATATCAATAACCTTCTGAATCTCACCCTTCTCAACTTGTCTAGAAACCTCTTGACAGGAAAGATCCCACATGAACTATGCCTGATGGAGAATCTCGAACGACTTTACTTATCAGATAATTTGCTCTCAGGTGAAATCCCATCAGCTTTTGGGAATGTTTCGCGATTGGGTCTTCTTGATTTGTCAAAAAACCGACTGTCAAACTTGATTCCCGACACTTTCTCGAATCTGTCGCAATTACGGAGTTTATTGCTTAACAACAACAAGCTCGTGGGAACAATTCCATCAAGCCTTGCACAATGCGTAAATTTGGAGATTCTTGATCTTTCGCATAATCAAATTTCTGGCTTGATTCCGAATGATTTTGCAAGATTGAACAGCTTGAAATTGTACCTCAACATCTCACACAATCACTTGAATGGGCATCTACCACCGGAACTCAGCAAGATGGACATGGTTCTTGCCATGGATTTATCATCAAACAACTTTTCTGGTGAGATTCCGTCACAGCTTGGAAGCTGCATTGCGCTCGAACACCTCAATCTCTCTGGGAATGCACTCGAAGGCCCTCTTCCCGATTCAATCGGGATGTTGCCATTTCTTGAAACATTTGATGTTTCATTGAATAGATTGTCTGGAAAGATACCGGTATCTTTCCAGACATCTTCCAAGTTGAGACAACTCAACTTCTCATATAATAACTTCTCTGGGAACGTATCTTTTCCGTTTCTTGATATCAATTCTTTCCTTGGAAATCCAAGGCTCTGTAGTGGTGGGATGGAAGGGATGCCAAATTGCAAGAACAAGCGGAAAAAACACTCGATTCAGCTGTGGGTTTTGCTTACCCTACTTGCCGTAGCCACTTTAATCATGTCTATGATTCCTGTAGTTTTCAAATGGAAATCAAAAAAGAAATTTTCAAAAACTTTCATCCGGAAAATTGGGTATGAAGAGGACGATGAAGAGGAAAGAAATGAACAGAGCTACCCAAAGATCTCTCATCAAGAACTCATGGTAGCAACAAATGGATTCAGCAGATCGAATCTAATCGGAACAGGCCAATTTGGGCAAGTATACAAGGGGATTCTCAAAAGACAACACGAAGATTGCTGTGAAAGTTATATGTTATGCAAAAGCCGAGGAAAGCTCTGGGAGTTTCAAAAGAGAATGTGAAGTTTTGAAGAATACCCGACATAGGAATCTGATACGGATCAAAACGATCTGCAGCAGACCTGATTTCAAGGCTCTCGTTCTGCCTTTGATGCAGAACGGGAGCCTTGAGGACCATTTGTATCCAAATGATGGTCTAAGCCGTGTGAATTTGATACAAATGGTCCGCATTTTAAGCGATGTGGCTGAAGGGTTAGCCTATTTGCATAACTATGCTCCAGTTAAGGTGGCTCATTGTGATCTCAAACCGAGCAACATTCTTCTCGATGATGACATGAACGCTATAGTTTCAGATTTTGGGATTGCAAAATTGGTGCAAGATCAGGATCACGAGAAGATCCCAATGGCATCTGGTGAGCCCCCTTCGGTTAGCTCGACAGATGGATTACTTTGTGGGTCAATTGGTTACATCGCTCCTGGTAAGTAACACCCGTCTTTATGTGTTTTTTTTAAAAACAATTGTAATTTTTAAAGAATTTATTGATATATAACATAACCCTTTAGATATTCACCATAATGTATTTTTTATTCATTATTATTATTATTATCACTAACAATTTCTCGTGTGCTCAAAATATAGAATACGGTATGGGTAGGCGAGCATCAACACAAGGAGATGTCTATAGTTTTGGGGTCTTGTTGTTGGAGATGGTGACAAGAAAACGACCTACAAATGTTCTTTTTGATGATGGTTCAAGCCTGCATGAGTGGGTGAAAAGTCAGTACCCACACAGGCTTGAACCCATTATAAAAGAAGCTCTTTTGGCCTACGGACCGATGTCGAGCAGTAGTAAACTACTGCACGATATGATCTTGGAGCTGATCGAGCTTGGGTTGATATGCACACAGTACAACCCCTCGACTCGACCGACCATGGTGGATGTGGCGCACGAGATGGCTACATGGAAAGAATACCTATTTAGGCCTTCGGATCTATCGACTGAGTGACTATTTAGTTTCTAAAAGACTAACATACTTAGATACATTTCATTTATGTTTATTGGGGATGTTTGATTGTGCATTATATATTTACTGGTAGCTTGTGCAAAGAAAAGTTGTACTCAAATTTTAGTGAGTGCATGATTGCATCGCGTCATGAACATGGACCATTTTTGCCGAGTGATTGTATGCCAAAAGAGACTAATGGGAATGTCGCAATAAACTTATTTTATTTTATTTTATTTAGAGTATGAGAATGCTTTATAAATATAAAGTAAAATTTACTTTATTTTAGTACATATATGCTAAGTTAATTTTATAATATTTCTTAATTCTCCATCATTAAGACCAAATCGTGGTCATTTTTGTTAAAGTTAAATCATTACAGCTAATCTAATCTAGCAATACGATACAATACAAAAAATATAATATATTATCAGCAAAAATAGTATTAATAATAAAATGCATGTTTTAGAAAAAGGTTAGAATGGCCATCGACTAAAACTTATACAATACTAATGATGGGTTTTGCCATGTGGGCAAAGTCGATAACTACGTCTAAAAATATGCAAGAGACGCGAAATGAAAATTTAAATGTTCTGTGACATTGTTAGAAGTGAGAAAAGTACTTGATTTGAAAAAAAAAAAAAAAAAAAAAAAAAAAAAAAAAAAAAAAAAAAAAATTTAATTAAAAAGAAGATAATATTCGTAAAAAATTCCGGCGCACATGAAAAAGTTAAAATATTTTAACTTTACCGGAATAGCTTTTACCTTAAACGATAAAAAGTTAACTTCAGGCTTTATCAAATCTTAAAAACTTTCACATTCTTTTATAAGATTTTCGCTTCTTAAATACTTTTGCAAAATCTATCTATTCTGATAAATAAAATCTAAAAATAACACTCTTTTTTATAATGTTTCTTTGATATATGGATTTTTTCTATGTTTATTATTTCATTTTTAATAACAAATCAAATTCAATTCAACTTTTAAAAACACAAAATCTTATCCTAATAATATTATTATGTTTATTTTCCTTAACAAATTAATTCATAATTACTTATAATCGACAATATCTTCGTTTTTTTTACATTTTTTTTATCTATATAGAAATTTTAAATATACCGACCGTAATTTCCATGAGCTATAACCTAGTATTTGAATAAAAACATGCATAATTTATGAATTAAATAGACCAATGATGTCCCGAAGAGTAAACCTATTCATAATTTTTAGAACGGCTTACAATAGTTTTTGGACAAAAATGCAAAAATGGTCCCTGTGGTTTGTCATTTTTTGTGGATATGGTCCAAACCTTTTGAAAATTGGATTTTTGGTCCTTATTAAGAGGTTTGTATGTGGAACAGGTCCCTGAAGTTAACCGTTGTTTGTTTTCGGCTGTTAAACCCCACATGTGCATTGCACACAAGGGCATAAATGTCTTTTTACTCAAGAGGAAACAATGGGCATAAATAATTTTGCACATCACAATTAAAAAGATTACGTGAACAATTTCTTCAACCCAACACTCAATCAAAACATCACTCAACCATAAATTAACAATGACAAAATCCACAATCCAAACAACCAACAACAATTGAACCCTTACAGTAAAAATTGATTGATTCTTTATGTCTGTTTGCATCTTCATTCCCAACCAAGAACAAATTGGTTCTGGTTCTCGTGTATACCTGCAACAAAACAAGAAGGAGCTTCATGGAATCCCCCTTTTCCTCACGACCACACAGCAACCCCAACACCACCAGTCGTCTCCCACAACTCCACCACCATCTTCCTTCCATTATTGTAACCGGAAAAGAAAGAGAAGAAACAACTGGATTAAACCTGTAACAACCCTCTCAACCCACCCTCGGCCTCCCTCATTGTCACAGAACACCACCAAGACCGACGACACCCCTCCCCCCCCCCCCCCCCGGCTACTTGCATTCTTCTTTTTCTCTTCGGTCCAGCCAAGCACCACCGGTAGTGGCGGTTTTGTGGTGAACCATCGAGGAGCTACCCCTCCTCCTCCTGCTGAAAAACATCGCCCCAAAACACCCCCGATACCGTCGTTCTCCCTCCGTCTTTCCTCTTCATTTGCAATCGAAGAACCTCCACTTGAGGCGAGTGTAGGTTTGTCGGCGATCAAGAGGGCGATGACCCTCTTAAGTTTCTCGATGCTCCTAGTCGGCTCCATAGCATCAAACACCCCTAAAATCATCGTCAATATGCCATGTTCCTTCCCCTCTCGTGATATGCTCGCCGATCGACCCGTTCGTTTTTTCATTCCCGATCAGACAATGATTAAGCCCACAAGGGTCGCTGGAGATCGACGCCCTTCCCTCCCCTCGTGATATCAGCCACCGCTGGAGCTTCCATCGATGAATTTGGTTCATCCCTCTCCCCTTGAGTAAAAATACATGTATGCCCTCGTGTGCAATGCACATGATGGGTTTAACAGCCAAAAACAAATGGTCGTTAACTCCAGGGATCTGTTCCACACACAAACCTCTCAATAAGGACCAAAAATCCAATTTTCAAAAGGTTTGGACCATATCCACAAAAAATGACAAACCACAGGGACCATTTTTGCATTTTTGTCTAGTTTTTGTTTATAGAGTAAACTACACGAATGGTCACTATGGTTTGGGGTAATTTGCACGTTTGGTTCCTAACTTATTTTTTTAACTCGGAAGGTCCTTACCGTTTGTTTTTGTTACGCGCTTGGTCTCTGTCTTACCTAAAAAGATTATTTTTCCATTGATTTATTTATTTATTTAAATAAACACACCCCAAACTCCACCCCTCAACATTTTTCTCTATTTAAAAAAATTATTTTATCTTACCTATTTCAACATTTTTCTCTATTCAAATAATAGTATTTTTAGGTAAAACAGGGATCAAGTGCGTAACAAAAACAAACAGTAGGGACCAAGTGTGTAACAAAAACAAACAATAGGGACCTTCCGAGTTAAAAAAATAAGTTAGGGACCAAACGCGCAAATTACCCCAAACCCTAGAGACCATTCGTGTAATTTACTCTTTTTTATATTTTATTTGAGAACGACGTATACAAACATTCATTATTCTACTCTTAAATCTTTATTTTTTATATTTAACAAGACTTACTCAATTTTTGACTGAACGCACATATCTATCAAACTGATACCACTAGAACAAAAACCATTTGGTAAACATGTTCATATAAGTTCATTAGTTTCTATTAATTTATCTTTTTTTTTCTTTATGAATTGAAAAAATAGTTACTAAATATAATATTAAGACAAAACTTCAAAAATGGTCCCTGTGGTTTCCAAAAATATCAAGTTTAGTTCCTAAGTTCAAAAAACCTCACAGATAATCCTTGTGATTTCAAAACTTTTAACAAATGGTCATTCTGCCTAACTCCGTGAGCTTTCTATCGTTAAGTGAGGGGCATTTTCGTCATTTTAATACACAGGGACCATTTATGAGGTTTTCTTTATTTAAAAAAAAAGAAAAAAATATATAATTGTTTAATTAAAGGGCCCCACCCTCTCTCTCTCTCTCTATCTCTCTCTCTCTCCACAACACTGACCACCACTATCATCTTCTTCTCCCTTCCCTCGATGCACAGAGCACCATTATCATGACAAAACCACCATGAGCATCGCACCTAAAAATATACATGTCATCTTGGTGTCATTGCTTCACTTCTCATCGGAAATCGAACGCTTTGCACTCAGAGGTCCACAAAATTGACAATTTTTGGAACCAGAGTTTCTTTTCTTACTAAATCAAAGGTTTCTTGCACACAGAGCCACAAAATCAGAGTACAAAACACCATAAAACTACCACCCATCTTCACACCTTTGTGATTCACTACTACTCTTCTTCCCTTTGTTTTCTCGCTGCCATCAACTAGAACAAGACCCACAAAGGGTCTCCGGAAAAAGGCGACTACCTGTTGTTTTGCGACATCCCAACCACCGCCACAACTGTTGTCATCTGAATCTCTTCCCTCGACCTCCTTTTCATCTCCAAACTCACTCCCTCTCACTTGTTCTCACTCCACCAACGAATAGGGCCACCATAGCCGTCTGTGGCAGCCTCTCCGCCTCCTCCTGTTTGTGATAACCACTAACAATCATCATCTTACAGAAATATCAGCTGTTGTGATCAACGGTGCAACCTCGTTTCATCCTTAGTACCTTCCAGACCTTGCAAATCCGAAGATGAATCTTAATCATGCCCTTATTTTTATTGGTATGGTGACAGTTCCAACACCACTGACGATTTCGTCACAGAGACATTCATAGTGAACTTAACCACCAATGTCAATGGTCACAAACAACAGCTCTAGGAGGTCTAGGTAACAATGTTATGTTCGGCATCGACCACTGATACAAAGGTCTATTTCATGGTGCTGTTGGATTGCTAAGTAAAGAACACCAATTGTAGATTTAGGGCTTCTCCTTTGAACTCGAAAATCATGAATAAAAAGATGAAATCAGAGGAAATAGTGATTCTTGTGACTTCAATAAACTCATAATGTAAGGAGTGGGAGGATAAAGGACTAGGGAGCATAAGAACGTAAGAGAGAGATAGAGAGAGAGAGAGAGAGGGTGGGGCCCTTTAATTAAATAATTATATTTTCTTAAAATAGAGAAAACCTCATAAATGGTCCCTGTATATTGAAATGATGAAAATGCCCCTCACTTAACAGTAGAAAGCTGACGAAGTTAGGCGGAATAACCATTTGTTAAAAGTATTGGAACCACATAGATCATCTGTGAGGTTTTTTGAACTTAGGGATTAAACTTGATATTTTCGGAAACCACAGGGATCATTTTTGAAGTTTTGTCTAATATCAAACATGATTTCTGATCTAGACTATAATCATAATTATAAGAGAAACTAGGGTTTAATACAAAAGCGGCGGTGCATCATGACCATGAATCTGGGTCGTGCCACTACTTATCGATGTGGTTCGTGTCGCGTCACTCAAGACTCACGTCATATTTTGTCAAAAACCCTAATTTTAAATCATAATTCAAAACAACTTCAAGGTAAATTTTAGTGGGTATTACAAATTATAAAATAAACTTTTATTTAATTATATTATTTAATACCTAAATAAAATATCTATTTTGTTTTTTCTTAATTTATTTTTAGGTGACAAATAATAAAAACTTACTATTCATTTTAAATCTTTTATGACTTTTAGT